TATATATATATATATATATATAATGTAGACTGTTTTCTGTAACTAATTGCATGTAATATACTGTAAATGTGCTGCTTGTCTGAATTCCTTGTATTTCAGGGTATGTTTTGTACCACCATTATAAGTACTGTTAGAAATGTTGCGTTTTATTTTTGTATTTATTTGAAATAACTGTTGTGCCGTGCCATGTGGTTTACTTTGCTCCAGAGGCACCCCGGCTTCTTTTTCGTGACCCTGCAGAAAAGTGAATTAGCAAAATAGGCCCAGAAAAAAGAAAATGTCTACATAAATACGTCCTTCATGACCAAAATGTTAACACTATTGCCACTTGAAGATATGATTTATAAATAGAGGTGTTGTACATGATCAGTGAGAGACATGGGCTCATTTAATTTAATTTACATTGTGCTTTAAAACCTTTGTGAGTATGAGCTGAGGTCTGTGGTGTAAACAGATTGTTGACATTTGTATAAGATTTAATGCAATGTGAGATTGTTAAATGATTTTGTGGTCATTGATTGCTGGGATAATAAGGTTGGAAGCTTTTTTTTGTTTTGTTTTTGTCAACCAAAAATTGACAAAAACAAACAATGCCAGACTTCCACCTGAGCGCATTAAATCTAAAACCTTTACAGTCACACCAAATGATTTTACACTTACTGTCTAAAGGAAATGTGATTCATGTAACAAAATCTAAATTGCTGTATACTCAGGTTTCTGTACAAAACAATTTATTGTGGTCATTAGATCCATGAAAGGAGACCCTGTCTTTACTTCTATTGTACTAATCTGATGATAGATTATTTATATTGTGTCATTTGCTTCATAAGAAGAGGTATAATATGGCTTCTGTACAGCATCAATGAACACAAGTCACTCAGGTCTGCTGAGCGCTGCTCACGCTGAAGATTCATGGACTTTAATTTATTTATTTTGTAAAATATCAAATGTCTTTGAGTGTCAACTTGGACAGAAGCATTTCTTTGGTTTGAAACTTTATTTAGGGCTATGGGAGTTTATAATGGGTTTGAGCCCCAAATCGCCAGCTCAGCATGTGTTTGAAGTGTGCTTGATGAAAATATTTGAAGTATATCAGTTATAACTTGCTCCATTATTTATTACAAATTGCAGGTTTATATTTTATTTTACTTTTTAAATACACATACCTACATGTGTATTTTTTCCCTACACTGTCTGAAAGCACACCTTGGGTTGCCTTATAATTTAAATGTTTGTCAAGGAGTTATTGATACATTGTGATGAGTAGAATGAGCTGCTTCAAATAAAGAAACAATTCTTTGACAACATGTTTTTACATTTGCACAAACACAAGGCTTCTGCGTATGGTTTGCACAGCTAGCCTAACCTTACCTAACACTCAGAGAAAACCTCACACTTCTGATGTGGTTTTAATTACCAAAAAAAAGAGAAAAGGCTCATGTCGATCATTTTGTTAGCAAAATGCATATAAATGCTACATGTGTTACATGCTGCGAAACTGATACTGTGTCCCGCGGTGTTGTGGCACCATGTTAAAGCAAGAACAGGTTCTTACATTAATTCAGAGTTTTACTTTATGATTCCCAATTCAAAGAAATCTTCAACAATAGATACTGTTATACGTTAACAGAGTAATCATTGCTGTGGTTTTGTGCCAACAGACACATCAGTGATGGAGCAGTAGTCCGCTACAAGAGATGGGGTGGGGGAATAATAATCCCCAAACTCAATCTTCAATCTCAAGTACTAGATGGTTTTTTTATGTTGACCTCTTGACATTGTTGTCAACACTTCAAGTTTTAGTCTATGTAGCTGATACAAAATACCCATGTAAGCTTAATTGAGCTTACTTGCTGTTCAATAAAACTTTAAAAATACCAGTAATATAAGCATCAACATGGCAAGATTACCATTTTGTTCTTGGAGACGCACACCATTAAATGAAATCACCCACACTGCTTATAAAGAAAAAGCTCTTCATTTGTCCTGACATGAAATGTCAGCTGAAGAAGCCTGGTACAGAGTGTCAAGCTTCATTCAGTGTGCCAAAATCTCAGTAGGTTTAACTTGCTGTGCCAGTGGCACAGTTGCAGTAAAATGTCCCTTAGAGACGGTCTTTAGGTCCTTCTTTCAGCCTCTTCTTCATCTCTATCGCATGCTGCTTGCTGCGCTCCCGCTTTTCCAGTCTCTGTTGAATAGTAAGGAGACAGAAATGAATGTAAGAGAGAAAAAAAAATCTTTTAATAGGATTGATTGTTGTCCTATCCATAAGTGGAAAAAAATTTAAAAAGCTGACAGACCTCTTTCTCCAGACACTGACGCATGGCACGGTCCACATCGTTACATGTGCCAAAGAACTTCAGAATATTGTGCTGATCGTAAAAGCAAACAAGGTTTTACACAATTTTATATCTATGCATGTGAATCATAGAGAAATAGTCACATTTGGAGATTGACTTACCTCGTTGTGGCACTGTCTCAGTTTACTTATTAGTTCATTACACTCATCTGTGTGAAGGTGAGGTGACAGGTCAGGGTGCATTTTGAGTTAAGGGCTTACTGAAGAACTGCAGAGACACTGAAAGGCAACAAGCAAGAGATGAACTGAGGATATACTCTCATCTATAAACAACGTAAAATACTCAGCCCAAGGGGGGCACCTTGGAAGTAATAGGATTTAAGGCTAGTATACAATAACATATAGCAAGAAAGCAAAATATTGCCACATCTGGAACTGCTGATGCCCAACCAATAACAACTAATGAATCAATAATTAAATTCGTTATTTTAACTGTTTGAATGAATTATTCCAAAGACTGCTTCAACTGCACTTTAAATACCGTATATCAGGGGTATCAAACATAAGGCATGGGGGCCAGAAGCATTCTGGGAAGCACTCCAATCTGCCCCACTGGATGGCAATGGAAAACAAGGAGTGCATAAACATCCTGTCAAGATCAAAGTGGGTTGTACGTGCCCCATGATGTAAAATTAGTTTGACATCCCTGTAGTACGTCAGCAGCATTTCCTCTAAAGGATACTAACACCTCCCCATCCCTCTCCATCCTGATGTGTCATAGTGATGACCGAGATTGTTTTTTCCAGTGGACACTTACCTGCAGACGCAGAGGCAAGAGCATTGTGTCAAATGTACACCATCTACATTTACTTTGGCATTATGTTAGCTAGACTAGACTTTGAACTGGGGATCTGTACTGCGTATGTAGTAATTTATAATAAACTTCATGTCAACACTGGATTATCAGCTGAATTACACTTACCACTGCAAAGGCTTTATCATCTGAGAAGTTTCCAGTGGGTGAAAAAAGCCGCTGCTTGCTAACTACTAGCTCCAAGCTAACTTCACAGAAGATGAATCTATACAACCATTGAACAACTGCAGAAGCTTTATGGTCTGCTGCAAGTCACTAACGCCTTAATGAACTGGACTAAATGAGCTGTAGTAGTACTATCGCCGGTTTAACCTACAAGAAATTACAATCTAAAGGACGTGCCTGCCTGTTACAGGACGTGAAGCTTTCGTAACTGTTTCGCCTCAACGATTTGAGTGACAAGAGTCGAGGGCGAATCGTAGCCTATATTCTTCTTTGGCCTCACCAATGGCGTGCGTACTTTCCACAAAAGGCGGGACAAATGATGACGGGAGTTTGCAGGAAATACAAGAAGGCTCCTCTCCAGGCACCTCTTTTCCGCCATTACTTACTATTTCTGTAATGCATGGAACCTTGTTTCCGTCACTAAGTTTTTTTTGTTTTTGATTTTTTTTCTTAAGTCAGATGTTCATGTCATTATTTAACATGAATTAATTAATAAATCGAAATGTCAACGATGCTTAATTATCTACTTACGGTTCTTTTGTTGTTGTTTTTTGCTTGTTTGTGTGTGTGGCGTGTGTGTGTGTGTGTGAGGGGGGGGGTATTTTGGGGGGTTTGTGTTTACGTAATTTGAACAATCTGAGTGATCGGTTTTACCGTTTTTCCTCTGACAATATTTCCTCTTTTTATTTATTTAGTTATTTATTTTTGGTTGTTATTTTTTCCTTTTCATTTCGGAAGGTGCATGCATAAATGGGGAAAATTCACAACTAAATGGACTAAACTAAAAATTAATAAATGGTGTTCATGCTCTGAGTAAACTACTCATTGGTCAAACCTAGCCTAACCTAACTAACCCCTGACCCTAATTTAGTTCGTAAGTCAAAATTTCCAAACCGTGACCTGAACTTTTGACTTGGAGATGACAAATTTTCTTCTATTTTTTTTCAACAGTTTCTATAGCAGCAGTGTGAACTTTATGAACTTTTTGTATGTCATAATTAATTTCACTCAATGGCGGTCACTAATTTCTTTCAACATTTAACTCTTTATGTAAGGGTCTTATTAAGGTCATTATTATATACAGATTCGTATAAGCATGGTTGGTCACGTCAGTAGCAGCGGTACTTAAAATTAATATATAACTCCAAGACAGCAGAGGGCGCTAAAGGAAATACGTGAGTCCGTTTTGCAAATATCTGATTGGTGGATTCATGTGCTTTTATTCTGGGCGGTTTGTTTGGAATCGATCGACTGTGGTGTGCGTTGTCGTGAAAGCTGAACAGATCGACAGTTTTACTCAAATTCAAGCTGTCTGTCTATTTCGGTCACTGTTGAAGGAAGCATGGACAACACTGTTAAACGTTTACTGGAGCGACTCGTGAGACGGATACCGAGTCGAATGCTGAAGACAACGCTGGATAAGTGGAGCCGTTTGACGGCGACGCAGCGGCAGTCCATAGATTACACAGAATCAAAATGGGCGTTAACAGAAAAACTACTTGCCATTTGCGAGGTATTTGGCTGGTTTTAGGCAATATAATTTGTTGTTATTTCTATGTGTTCATTGTACACTGTAAAAAAAATGTTCACATTGAAACTACTATTAAATATTATGGTGTTTGCTCTATTAGTGTTTAACATAAGTGTTGTGTTTCACAGGAAAATGAATTGACAGTTAAACACATAGCTGAGCTGGAAATGATACGTAAGTCGAGCGAAGTTACTGTATTATATTATTACTATTATATATTATGTTATCATTTTGGCTTTTTGCTATATCAGTGGTAAGGACAGATTTACAGTTCACTAACAGTGCTTGTGTCGCCCTGGTTTCATACAGATGTCATCGAGAATCCCAACCTGGGCATGTGGCATGCCTTCCAGCTCATGGACCCTCAAGGTATGTTGAAACAGTAACCTGCTCTGTGTCGTCAATAGGGCTGAACGATTATGGAAAATAATCTAATTGCGATTTTTTGCCCCAATATTGCGATTGCGATGCGATATGCGATTATTTTTTAAGGTCTTTGTCTTCTGTATTATTAAACAAAGACAAGCAATACATCATATAGTATGGCCAATACTATATTACATTAATTTTAAACTGTTCTTTCCTGGAAGACAGACCTCTGTTATGATGACATGAGGTGATGCATGAATTGATGACTGACATTTTTATTTAACTTCTTCAATCACAACAGTATATTTGAACATACACAATAGTTTATTTTTAGCTTACAAACATCTGAGCATAAAGTGCTGACAAGGAACCCTGGTGTAAACATTAAAATGAAAGTCAGTACAATGTGCAGATTGCAGAAATATACATAAAAAAAATCGGTGGCTTTACCACACTCAGTTTTTCGACATCTGTGAACTACTAGACAGTCATTCAATTAAAAAATAATATTAAATAAATAAAACTAATAAATAAAAAATACACACATCTTACTGATCTCTGCAGTCAGTAACATTACACATAAAGTGCAAACATAATAGCAATTGTATAAACACACACACAAACACGCCTTTAAAATTTAAAGGCGTGAAATTGGACGGTCTAGCCTTCTGATTGGCTAGTTCTGATTAGCGTCACCGCTGTCTCGGTGGAGTTTAATAAACTCGGCCGTCTGCTCCTTGCTATCTAAAATATAACCAGACACTGGTGTAAATTCTCGACTGTCTCATACTTCTGTTTAATAAGTTTTCTGTTTGACGTTTAGTCAGCTGTGTGAAAACCAAGGAGGAACCCACCCGGGGGATTAATAAAGTTTTATTTTATCTAATCTAATAACTTTAATCTCAGCCAAACCGATTTACTCACGAACAAACAAAACACTGAAAGAAGCCCAACAATAACATTTTTAGGTTGTCTAAGTGACTTATATATTACGTTTAACCCGAGCAGCGAAACTCCGCGGTGATCTGAAAATGATGTGCCGGGAGTTGTGCCGTTCTCGGCCGCATCAGTAACCCTCGAGCTAGCCGGAGGGTAGCAGACGCCTCTGAAAACGTCGAAGCACTTTTGCAAATATGGGATATCTTGATAAACCGAGCAGATATTTGATGTTTACACAGCTACTTTCTCGCCTGAAAATATGTTAAAAGTTTATTTTGTGACCCAGAAAGATTAGTATGAGTAATTTTAAAACTTAGTAGCGGCCGCCATTGCTGGAAACTGGAGTTTGGCTGGGCCGCGCTATGAATTCTGGGATATGGTGGTAATTTGGACAGCCTTCGGCGCGTCGCTGTGACGTAATCGATCTACAAATGCGGCCTCAGGAGGATGCAGCCCATGAATTTGGACATATTCGCAGCCTTTGCGGTTAGAAAATTGCACTTGATCATGTTGCGATATTATCGCAAATGCGATATATCGTTCAGCCCTAGTCGTCAAGGGCTGAAAGCCTATAAGTTTTGAACCTTCGTTGAATATCGAAGCTCTTGGGGTTTTCAGGGAATGTTTTGTCTTCCTCCCCTCACCCCAACCGGTCGCGGTAGATGGCTGCCCCTCCGTGAGCCTGGTTCTGACGGAGGTTTCTTCCTGTTAAACGGGAGTTTTTTCTTTCCCACTGTCACCAAAGCGATTGGTCATAGAGCGTCATATGATTGTTGGAGTTTTCTCTCTTTTATTATTGTAGGGTCTACCTTACAATATAAAGCACCTTGAGGCAACTGTTTTTGTGATTTGGTGCTGTATAAATACAATTGAATTGAATGGAGGTTTTCTTTATTAAATTGCTGATGGCTTTAAGTGCCTTAATAATATTTTAATTTCTTGCTGTCTTTATAAATATCTTGATTTTTTTTTTTAAGATGATGCTCACTCTGTAGAGCTGACACAGTTCAAGGAACAATTTAAATCCCACCTCAGTGAGCTAATAAGACACGTAAGCTATTCCATCTAATTTACACCCAAAAATTCTATTTTTAAATCGTTTTATCAGCAAATTACATTTCACATGCTTCTCTGTTAACCTCCTGCATTATCAGTCTGTTTTCACTTTATATTTGAAGGTTTCTATCAAGATAAAGAAGCACACAGATGAAGCTGTGTGGATTCGAATTGCATGGGGAGACACCTTTTCTCGCCCAAACCACCTGAAACCCACATATGTCGTTCACTATCTTCAAACCCCTTACGTCTTTCTGAGCAGCCTAACTTCAAAACAAAAGCCTCTGTTGTCACAGGTAAGGATGACTTCTGTGGTTAATACGTCACATTGTTTATCCAGTTTCCTTGTTTGTTTCCATCCTACTTTAAGAGACTTGTTTGCTTTGCAGGCTTTGGTTCTGTCCACCCGATATCAAGCTATTAAGGATGCTAACCTCAGTGGACGGAAGCTCACTGCCATCAGAGATCTGCTTATGAAGCAGTATCTGCAAGTATGCCTGATTTATTTATTTATTTTTTAAAATTATTTACTAGTTAAGACTGACTTTATTTTTATTTTTTTCATTTCTTAGATTTTGTGGGCTGCATGCAGTGTTTTCACCTTTTTAAATTACTGCTTTAGAGAGAAAAATGAGTGGAATTTTACTCTGACCTTTTTTTTTTCCTTTTAAATCCACCTAGGTGTTTCCCACCAAGTTTCCCAGCCCTCTGGCAGAAAGGAATCGTGTTGTCTCAAGTATGTTTTAAAACTTTTTGATTTTCTTTAAGCCATTTTCTCTATGCATTTCTGTCATATGGTGAAACATGTACTTACATTTTTAATGCTGGTTTTATGTATGTCTTTATTTATATGTACAGACCTTCACATAGAAAAAGAGCAAGCTGGGTCTGCAGCAAACAGACATCAAATGGCTTGTGAGGCATTTGGTGATGGGCTATTACCTCAACTACAGTCTGCAGTTTACAAGGTAGCCAGACAACACCGACTAAGTAAAATAAGTTGATTATCTAAGTTGTTTCACTGCTTCACAGATACAGATGTTAACCCAGATGCTGCCATGTTCCTTGTTAATGTTTCATCAGCTGGAAACAAAATTCAGAGATCACACCAATAAGACCATGACAGAGCGGGACGAGCCATTCAGATGTGTTGTTAAATTTGCAAGCACCAATCTCCTCGAGTCACTCAGACACTCTGCATCCTCAGGTACACAGAAAGTGTTAAAAACAGTCATAAGAATAACTATCATCGTCTTTTGTAAGGAAGTAAGTTATGTTACTATAACCTGGTATGTCACAAAGTCATGTAGAATACTAACTGCATCTCTGCAAGTGTCCACAAGAGGGCACCAAAGTCCTGGAAGAAATAGCCATATAGTAATGCTGTTACATTAAGCTACTTCACAATATTCATGATACTTTGGGAAGAGGAAACTTTTCTAAGGAAGTTTGCTTTTATGTTTAATTGTTATGTCCCTGAATCCTCCTCACTTTGCAACTCTTTCCCACATTTTCCGGTGTGGGTGGAGACAATCAAAAAATACTGATAGTGACAGGTAATAGACAAATTCTCAGTTATGACTCAGGTTAAAACCTGATCCTCATTGTTGTCTTTCTGGTTTCTCTAATGGTTATTGAAACATTGTTTTTCTACTTTACAGGAGTTGCTTCCACCCCTGTGACACCCCTTCTCTCATCCGTTCCCTTAAAGGGAAAAAATTATTTTGTTATCACAGACAATGGCCCTGGACCTTCATCACAGAAATGACCATCAGACACTTGATTTAACTTGTAGCATGCTCAGTCCATTAGTCCATTCATTTTACTTCATACTTTAATGATGCATTTGTTAATAAAACTCTGTCTGTTTCAATAAGAAATTTTTATTCTTGTATTTTTATATCTTCAGCTGTAGGTATACTAGTTGCTGGCAACTCTGTCACTTTATTGTTTGTCAGCATTGCATATAAAAGCAGAATTTTAAATATTCCTAAGGTTTTGTCATTTGTTTTCTGGTATTGATACAAATGTGTAATTTTACCACACATTAATATAAAGTGTTTTTCTGCGTAGCAATCAGATGAAACCAGCCCCTCACACCTCACATGCACGTTATTTCAAAGTGCATTTTTACTCTGTTTGTGTCTGTATACAAAACATTTAGACAAAAGCTTTAGTCTCAAGTTTATTGTAAACAATCCTTTCAAGCTTATTTAAAGCATCATTGGTCAAAGCAATTCTTTAGTCCTGTTAAAACATGTCCATTTAAAAAAAGGGGGGGGGGGCTTGTAAATATGTGATTTACACAAGTGAAAGGTGTAGTGGCAATTCCTTTACTTTTAAAAGATCAAACGTCCCACAACTTAAAGTCCACAAGCCACTGCTGCATTGAGGTAATATTTCGTACGCAGGCAAAAGAAGTCCATTGTCCAAACATTTTAGTTGAGAGTTTTGGTTTATTTATCCATCTTGGCAAGCAATAACAAGATCCTTCCTGCTGCTTCTCCTGCTCTGGTATAAAACCATAAGCCCACCCCAATGCATGCTGGTCCTATACCAGTCTCTTTATTTATAGAAACAAAATGGCCCTACAGCTCTTACTAACTAATTTAACAAAATAACAACAAACAAACAAACAAATCATTTAAAACAAAATATTAACCGACAAATAAACCCCAAAATATAAGTAAACTAACAACTAACTTTCAAAAAAAAATAAAAATAAAGAACAAATAAAGAACAAATAGCTCCAACAAAAGGTGTGTATTAGTTAAATAGATCTGTCTTTACCAACCATAGTAGCCTCTTCATATGTTAACTAATAAACTTAGACTGGGGGAGTTTGGGAGATATGTGAAATTTGAAAGATACTGGACCCCATCTGATGTAAACAGAGGTTTACATCAGATAGGGTCTGATGTGATGACAAACCCAGACACTGAATCTAAACGTTTTGAGAGGACAAAGTGAAAGCTCTGATTTGATAAACGGTATTCTTTCGAGTGTTTTGTAGTCGAGGCGAGTAATGAGTCGGAAGATTTGCAGAACATGTCTCCAAACATTAGTGACATACAAACAGAGAGCACAAGTCCCGCCAAAGGACTTTGCTGTTCTATGATGTTTTTATTACAATATGATTATGTGTGCAGTTTTTCCAGATTATGTGTGTTTATCTCATCCTGATGACATCAGCGGTTTCTATGTATTATGCTGATGTCAGCATTGTTAATATGGAAATATATAGTATAGTTAGTATATTAATCTTTTTGTGTCACTGTGAAGTCATGTGACCCTAACCCTATGACATATTAATATCATAGGTTTTATCAACATGAGTGGAGCAGAATTGTCTGAAATCTTTGGCTTATGTCTCCAAAGGTCTATCATATTGTTGTGAAGTTTGCAGGTGATGCACATTTTTTTTTTTTTTTTTTTTTACTGATTTTCACATTTAGTGCAATCTTAACCCGATTTTAACCTAAATTAATTACATAATTTCTCCTTTTGTGGGAGAATGAAATGGGATCATTCATGAAAAATAGTTGCAGGAATAAAATATAGAAAAAAAAAAGAAATATTCAGTTTTCAATTAGGTGGGTTGCATTCATTAAAAAAAATCCAAAACAAAATAAAAAATCTAGAACTTGTCATTAGTGATGCTGAACCGGGTTAGAGTCCGCGCTAAACGCACTCGAAGTCTAATTATTCGTCCATCCATATATGTTAAAAATCACATTATTCTGCAAAACGGAAATGCGAATGTTATCTAGGATGTGACGTAAGCCCGAACAGAAGAGTGGAAAGGTAGCAATGCAGCCTTACAGGCAGCGTTGAGGGACGGAATGATCCTTTTCATACAATGCTGCTGCTGGGGCTCTCTGCCAAACACGGAATGCACTGTCAACACAGAAACATGGCTGCCTCTTCAACGGGCAAGGCGAGTAACAGTGATAACGCTAATGCCGGCAGTCTAAACTGTAACGAAGAACCTCTGCCGCAGTCTCGGGAAATGATAAAACCCACCATCGTGGAGCTGACCAAAGAAGTGAGGACGAACATCCTATGCACCGTGGAAGGATGTGGCAAGATTCTCCCCAACACACCTGCGTTGAACATGCATCTGGTTAAGTCGCACAGAATAAAGGTAACTAATTACTAAATCAGGTTATTCCGATGTGAACTCAACTGCGAAGCTAACTTGGCTAATTCGGTTGAGAGAAAACTATCATTTAAAAAAAAAACGCAAGTCATCCATAACTTCGAATTAGCTAGCACGTATGGTCGTAGTAATGTGTTGCCAATAACGCTGGGACAACATAGTCGAGCTTTGGTAAAAGTTAACTAAGTTTCTTCTTGACTGTTATTTAATTGGTGACTGTTTACTATTAGCGAGTTAGCTATACTGCACCTAGCCGCTTATGTTATCAATTATTGCATTTGTCAAGAGAAATTCGGTGCTTATTGCATTAATAATATACAGATATACCCCTTTAATATTAAATATTAGTTTTTAGCGAGTTGTTAATCTAGGGCAGGGAATTTGGGAGTATCTAAATTGGCTGTGTGTGTGCAAAGCTAGAAATCTATTTGTCGTTGTATGGTTACGGTCTCTCAGGAATACGACCGCACAAACAACGTGCTGTCTATCACGAACACAATACTTAGACTTTGGTCTAAATGTTTAAACCGCCTCAGCTGTACTAACTCCTAGTTCCTCTGTCCTCACTGGACTGGGCACTTCGTGGGACGCAATAATTCACTGTCTCCCAATGAATGAAGTTCTTTGCTGGGAAAGACTGCCTTTGTCCTGCAATAGACTAAGCTCTTTGTTTAAAATAGGTGAATGTTAGAATTTGAATTAGCTCCTAGAAGTAATCCATGCTGGCCCAGCAAGGAGAGCGTTTAAAGGCCTAAAGAAACCACAAGTTTTACTATTTAAATCCGAGTTGCAGTCAGGAGTAGTTTAAAGTTAAGCAATCAGTTTCTAAATGTAATTCAGTTTTTACACCAAAACTTTAAAAGCTGCCGTAAAGCTGGGTGAACTGTGTTTGGTCCATGTTCGTTGCAGTCCATGAATAAAGAGTTATATTGGTCACTGTGTTGGGTTTTCATGGTGCATTCACACTTTCCTCAGAGAGTGCCTGTAAGAGGCACAAAGGAAAGAAAAAGCGAGCAACAAGAAGGCAGCACAGCTTGCCTGTGTTACTTTTAATCCACAGCTATGTGAAACTTCTGTCAGCAGCCGTAATGATATTATGGTTGACATAATGATAAAGTGCATAAAATGCCACAGTTGCTCACTCAGTGCTTCTGCATAGTTGATGGAGCTAGAGTTGGGCTATATCTGTTTATATTTAACAGCACCATAACGTCACTGCATCGCTCCACAGCTGTTTCATCACTGTTTATATTGTTTCCCTATGAACACTTAAAAAAAAAAA